TCGTCGTGCACCTCCATTCGACAAGGCGGACAGTGCCAGGGCATAAGTGCACAACGTAAAGCAAAAAACAAACGCAAATCCAGTGCACCAATATTTTATTTGTTAATTCAGTACAAAATTTACGCCAATCTTCTGCATAATCTTGGCGTCAGACGCGCGAATCGCGGGCGCGCAACAGCGCTTCCGGTCGCGATAGGCGTCCGGCAAGGCAGCAACTTCCGCGGACCGCTTAAGAGTACTCTGGACGGTAGTGCGCTTTACTGCTTGGGGGGGTCTTAAAGCGCTCCGTCGCCCAACGAGCAAGTTCGGAGTGAGAGCATGCAGGATCTGACTTGTGCTTCTCGCACAAAGACTGCTTTTGTGGGACATGTAGGAGGAAGGGCGATGTCCCATTGTCTTTGGCGGTAAAAATTAAAGTGTGTGTTTGTAAGAAGACGTCCGATCCAAAATTTAAAATCCAATCGATGCGGCGTGTCATCCCTCGGCGAGGAGATGAAAACCGTTGAGGTTAATTGCTAGGGTGGTGATGGGCAAAGGTAATTGCGCATCCGATTCGCGTAATCATAAAATCTGGCAGGGTATCGACTGATACCGGTGTCGAATTGGAGGTGCACGACTGTAATAATAGTCTCTGTCAATGGAATATCATTGGCTGGCGAGGAGGTCTAGCTCTATATATGTTTTTACAAATTTTAAGTCAAATTCAGTCAAATACAGGCAGTAGTACATCATCCTGGCTAATATTCTTGTAAAGTTGGTACAGACCAAATTGAAAAGTACCTTTTTCTGACACTTTGAGTATGCTAAGCTCCTTACTGACGCTGCAAGCAACCGCCCTACACACAACAGTGTAATCCAGAGCTTCTCCGTGGCCGTGAAACACGCTTTGTCCAGCCATAGGTGTAGACCTACCCTCTCCTTCTTAGGACCAGCGGCATCGTTCGCGTCAGCGAGATATTCAGAAGCTCGGATACGAAAATGTCATAAGGCACAAATCCCGAAATGTCCATGACCATTTCTCCGGTGCTTCACGTAAAGTATGCAGGTAGAGTTGCTGTACACGACGTCGTATCACTGGCAAGCTCGCCAAGCATTACGCGTGGAAGTACTAAATCAGGAGCTGACTTAGTAGTTTGGAACGCTTCGCGAGCCAGGTAGGCTTGGGGAACGCTTCAAGAATTCTACAACCGGACGACGCTGCACAATCGTGTTACGATGACACGTCGCCTTCATGAGCTTAAGTTGAAACGTGGAACGCCTATGGTCAAGCATCGGGACGCGTTCGATGAGCTAATTGCTGGTCTTCAGACGCTTGGAGAGCCAGTGGACGAGGTATGCCAGCTCGTGATATGGCTCAACTTTATCCCTGATGAGCACGAGCTCATCACGTCCATCGTGAAGAGAGAGGTAAGCCGCTTATTAAGACTAAGGAGCAGTTGATCAAGGGGTACGAACACCTCGAGCAGAAGGAGACTACCGCGGAGAAGGCGTTCCAAGGGCGGCCGATGTTACGGTCGAAAATAGAACGGTCCGAGACAGAACATAATATTCCAAGGCAAGTGCTTCAACTGTGATCAAGTGGGCCACATGAAGCGAGACTGTCCCGTTAGGAGCGGTGACAGCAATGCTGATGCAGATTTTGCAGTTGCAGTGGGTGAGGAACGGCTGGCCGGGTAACTGATCTACAGTGGTGCGACGTCGTACATGACCCCTCATGTGGAGGACTTGGTCGAGTACAAGTATCTGGACACTG